TATAAATCACGCGACAAACTCTGCCCGTCTGCACCTAACAAAAATTGAGTGAGATATGGAAATATTTAGATTTTAATTGTGTAAGGTCATTACGTTCCCAATCAAAATATTTCTATTAATAGAGCGGAAGTAGACTCCAAGTCCTTAATTCCAAGCACATAGTATAAGCATTTGTCGTTTTTTTACAACATTGCAATAAACTGTGCATGCATTGATGTTAGCCCAGTTGCTAGGCTAGTACATCGACTAACGAAATCAGGACAAGATCGTAATCCGCAATTTTATTAGTAAATTAAAGTATACGTTCCTTATAGGTCATAACAGAAAATTTACTTCAACCACAAAAGCAATGTTGGAAGCAGACATTTATCAATAGTTAAATGAGAGTATCCCCTAAAGACCACCAGAGATCTGTGATGCTAAGAAAATGACTTCTCTTGTGCTGTAGAATTACAAATTAAGCTGGTTATAATATCAGTAGCAACTAGCTATATTTTGGAATGGAATATTTTGGGCGATTCCGAAAATAGATATACATACTGGCTAGAAATGGTCTGACCTCGTTTTCGCAACTTCATCGTACTGTCAGGCCGACCCAGCTGGAATCATCTTGTCTGAAGCTCTCTACCATAGTAGTTATGGTAGCTCCCGGCGTCGGACTGTGGACATACGTTTCTCCGGCGATGAAGTCGGTATCGTCAGTGAGTCTTGCCAATCTTTGCGCCAGGCCACAATTCGCCAAAGAGCCTGAAGTCAATTCTCTGACCAATTTTTCGCCGAAGGTTTGTGTTATCACTTCCTTCTGTCTTGGCACATCTACCTACGCACCATCCTCGTATCTCACGCCCTCACAACTTATAACTTGTCTGTTTACCTGGCCCTCCCTCCATCTCGATTTTATGCAATTGCTGATCCGACTCGGACCTCTTATCAGAATCTCCCTGATAGCTTTAAAGATTTGTTGCTTATCTTAGTGATTGACTGATTTCACCCGTTTCCAGTCATTCTCTATCACAAGCCTTTAGTAGCACGTATACTGTGGCATTACCAGAGCGCCTAGGCTCTGATTGCGATGCTTACAGATATCAACAATTGTCTCCGTAACCCATCTCTGTGATTCAGCCCGTGTACCCTGAGTAAACGGTAAAAGTCTATCTCTGGTCTCCTGCTACATCACGAGTAGATTTCTATTCAATCTTGCTCTGATCTACTAGCCATTATGCCAAATTTCTGTGGCAGCCAGGCCTCCAAAGTTGCAGTTGTTTCTTCGAGTAGACTACACTCACTGAGAACGTCTTAGCTTGATTTTCGAATCTTCCTCACTTGCTTCTTTCGATCCTTTTTCATGTGGTTACCGATAGCTACTTTATACAGGCGTTTCCTTTTTACTGGTCTTGCCGCACCTTTGTTTGCTCAAACGTTGCTCTAGCAATAGGCAAAATGATCGTAAACTCTGCTTTATTCCAACCACTCGTTCATTAAATTTCTTTCTGCAAGGATTCAAATGGCCTCCCTAATCTTCCATTTGCTTGCGTTCCCAACGTACTAGACCCTACTTTCCGTTGTCTTCCAATTAATCTCATGTCCAGCCTGTGCAATGTATTCCGCTATTTATGATCCTTTGGTATCCGTTTTCCTGCAGAACCTTTGATATTCCTTGATGCCGCATGCTATGTAGTAACCTCCCTAGCACTTCAATTTGTCGACACCCCAAGTTAGGTATATAGGCTTGTGAAGAGTGCTGTTTTTTCCTTAGTGGCCACCTGAATGATCCCTTTTTTAAATATTGGTCGTAGTTCTTGAATTAGTTCTCAGGAAGGTAGGCATATCCGTTTATGTGGATCTTTCTTCATCCTTATTTTTCTTACACAGTTTCTATCCTGCCATCGGCTTTTCCCGGCCCTCATGTTTCCTTGTATTACTTCTCTAGGGTATCAATTTCCGAGGAACATCCTAGTCAATTATTCCAATTCTGCATCCCAGAATGCCACGCCAGTTAATCGTAGACTTCTGATGATAATGCTCCTCATTATTCCTATTTTTAGTCTGTAGCTGTGATCGGACTGGAAATATAATATTATTCCGCCATATGAGTTGAGTATCTAATTGAAGTGAATGACTTAAACATCAAGAAAATGTAAACGGTCCTTCTGCTCTACTTTCATCGCCAACTTGATCATTTTATAAATCTTATTTGTAAACTTCAGGAAATGGTCATAGCTTTCTCTTCCATGCGACCAAAGTGCGAAATAGTTAGCCAAGTATTGCCTGAGCTCTATTTGTTGTAACTATGGCGTCTTGAAATATTCTAATTAATTCATGTATAAGTTTGACTATAGATGTGAGAGCGGTGATCCCATAAAATTCCAAATAATTGTCTATAAATGTAGTCCATATTTTCAAGTTGATTAGTTGTGAAAATCACTCACTTCTTTTTCTCTCTGCCAGCAGGATTTCCTTCTTTCCGCTTAAAGTATACAACCGAGCAATTTTCATCTCTCTTCTACAGAGATGATTATATGCATGGATTGTACATTAATGTTTATTAATTGTTGTGTTACTTTCAGTGCCATGTTTTAAACCCTATACGATAATGCATGTGAATGCTTCATTGTGTGTTTCAAAAATAAACTTGACCAATTTGTTTTGCTCCACGAATGTCATTGACTATCAGCCTTAGCGGTTCCCTTACTTTGTGTATCTTTGGTAATTCGAAGGCTAATGACAAGCTGTAACTTGGTGTTAAGAACGGCAAGACTCATTGACGATGCTGATGAAACGTCCGAGAATGTTCTAAGGCTACGGCCCGAAGCTGAGAATAATCCTAATCAATATAGCAGAAGAATTCGGACGAGGTATGCCCAACTAGATTGCCCCGAAAATGCGAACAAGTGAAGAAAACGAGGTAAAACCACTTATATACAGTAAAAGAAGACTACGATACAGACAAAGGCCACGACACCTTGGTCTTCATAGCTTTCCTTGCTGTTCATGAGAATGACGTAGAAGAGGCAGCAACAATCCAAAAACCATAAATGGAGAAAGGAGCTTCATTCATTCATGAACGCTTTCTTGACACTACGACAGATTAGAGTTGTCCTGTTGGTAAGGCTGAAAGAAAAAAGGGAGCGCAATTCGAAAGCAAGGAGTAAGCTTTAGACAAAGTCAGTTATCCTACTCGCTTTTTGAGATCCCTGAACGAGTCAACCAACAACAACGAGTATATGAAGAACCTATCCGAAGTAAATGGCCATTATCAAGGAAAATTGATACTCAATCTCCAGCATAAGCAATACAAGACTAAGGTTAGCTGCAGAACTCGACAAAAATAGGCTGCGGCCTGGCTATACCCATAAAAATTCACATCTACCACACTCGACATTCCGTATTTCTTCATAATGCGGCCTGTATTCCAATTTACAACCATCCCTGCGAAAAGGAAGTCAAAAAAAGGAATTGTATCTTTTCATAACTGTAAAATCGTCTAATAAGACGCCATCCAATCACAATAACTAGGAATTTGAACAGCATCTAAGAGATTGTGCAATGAAACGGACAAAGGACTAAAGATGTATCCGCAAAATGGGGGTCATGCAACAAGCAAGTGAACATAACAAGCAAGACGCCTTTCGATAACCAATACATGAACACAATTTAGTAGGGAAGTATGTCCAATCTATTATCCAAACGTGTGAGAATGAGATAAAAATACCCAGTCACACACAGTTAGACAGAATGATGATACAAATAGGTCACGCTATTCACGTGACGTATATGAAATGATGTATGTGGTAGCATATATACAGTATTGGCGGCAGTAACGTAATCTGTTTAAAAATAGACTTATTGTTTACAATCTCATCTTCGAATAAAGTAGCCGCTGACACAACTCGTTCTACATTACGATAGGCAATGACTCTTATACGATCGAAAAGTACCAAGTAAGGATGGCCCTCCAGAACCTCCAATAAGAATGCATGAGCATCTGTAAAGGATACCTTTCTTGGAGGTTTGTATATCTTGAGATCAGTAGATGCTGCCGATGTAAGATTATTTGTTACGATTATTTATAGTACCTATAGAACAAACAACAACAAAAAAGAACAGATTTTTGTTCTAGATTGGGACCAGAGCATTATATGGAAGACAAAGGTCTGCGAAAATTTTGCAGCTCTATGCAAAATATGTGGAATATTTGAGAGGTAAAATTTGCCTCTTAAAGGGGGTATCCTCATTGGCAATATAAGCACCAGTTTAACTAATGAATAATGGGGAGTGTATCTAGAAATGATTTTTATGATTAGCATAACTAACATAATCGAATTTATTGTCTCTGAATTTGTTATCTAGCATAATTATGAAGTCTACTACCAATTACCCAAATAGTGTCATTATAGTTTGAATTAATTAATTAGATTCGGCCTGGCTTAGCTTACTCTCCTGTCTCCATATTTATTTTATAAGAATGAGTTTCTTCTTAACACAACTCCATAACGATATTAAAAAGTAGGCTTATAATCCACTTATTTATAAGTGGCTGAATATGAGGAAGAAGCCAATTTGCCATATAATTGAGAAAATAAATCAATAAGACTCGGATAAGAAATAAGCATCAGGTCACCAAAGTTTGCTTGGCAGGATACACATTTGGCGATCGAAGTCTGGCTAAAGTGGATCAGAAGGGTCATCACGAAAGTATTATAGATTCTCTATCGAAAAATCAATTAATTAAGTTATATGGGTTAATCAGGAGAACGAATGCGCAGCATAAGGAGACAAGTATGTTAGATTCCTGCCACTAAAAGTGATATATATGAAAAAATGCGGATTTTGAAGAATATCACGAGATAAGATTAAGGTCAAGACTTTCATCTCGTATGGAAGTACATGATAAAGAGACACGTAGAACAATCTCTTCAGAAGACGTTGGCTGATTCGTAGTGTACCGCAGCTGTTTAGCCTTAATACGCCGTTCAGGTTAATGCAGCCCACGATACATCCTCCAACATTTCGGCCGAAGACGGGCTAAGCTTAAGTTCTTCATGTGATTAACATCGTCAGAGCTGGGACTCGCTCTTGTAAAGGCCTCAAGTTAGCATTAAGTCAAGAAGACTAAGTGGCCTTAAACTGGTGAAATAAAAGCTGATCTAAACAGGACTATAAAAGAATTTATTAGCAAGTTCGCTTGGATTTCATTAAATTTCATTAAAAAGTCCGCCTCAACAAAAACAGGTTCCGAAAGAGCCTTAAATATACCAAACTAGGGCTTGATATACTCTCATATAGAAATGTCTTCAGAGGGATTGTGTTTGAGGCCTTCAGCAGCTGTACCGACGTGTCGCCCAGCGAGAGCTAATGCCATCTACAAAAAGGTAACTTTAAGTTCCCGTCCATGAATGAATAATCAACAAGATAATTTGATAATGTCTCTTATTCTAATTGAGACAGCGTAGCAGCTTTCGAAAAGGCAATTTTAGTCAGCTTAAATAAACCCAGCAAGAGAGGAAAATTTTCTTGTCGCTAAAACACTTTATGCCTCATAAAAAGCCAGAAAGCTTGCAAAAAAATATTATATAGAAAATATCACCATATATATATATAAGCATTGGCATTGAGGCTTGCAAGTAGTATTACTCACTAAAGGCAAGTAAAATCCATCACTAAACCAACTTTCTGATAACTCACTCAAAAGAGCCTATTACTGGAGCAGCTC